CAAGATTTTGAGAAACCAAACGCTCAAAGAGGCCAAATAAGCATTCAACTCTCCTCAAATGTCAAACATGCAAACATTTTTGCTAACACAAGATCTGTTGTGAAGATGATATATACACATCGCGAAACCCTTCTTGTATATCACCCACAAAGGGTCACGATTTTCAATACTTTTATCTGTCATAACTTGCGAAACAAGTCAGCGGTTCTTTACAATTTGCTATATCTAAATATTTCTCTCAGCCAGAAACTTGGGATGAATATGGATTTTATGATAAAGTTACCATTATAGATCAAACCTGGGACGTCGCAATATTTACATCGTATTTATTTAGGTCCGATGTGAAATGAACAGTATTGAGGGTCAAAAGTTTGAATAACCATAACCGAAGTCAAAATATATTTATACAAACTAACATTGGCTGAGAGTGTACGTCTCTCGGCAGAACCGTCTGATCCTTTTTAACTTGATGGTATTTACAATAGGTGTCTACTCCTCTGACAGAAAATTTTCCAACCATATAACTGTACCTCCCAATATTCGATACTTTCAAATTACATATTTGGAGTTCATAAAAATTTCGTAATATAATTTTTAGAATGGTTTTGCACAGTTATCAAACGCATTTTAATTTAAGAATTTAAAATGAAATAAAAGCACATCAGAAACGTAACCGTTCGTCCCACCTAAAGTGTTTTTTGTAGCAAAATGTGACAAAGTAAACAAATGTATATATGGCCGTGGGTGTTTCAAATTTTAGACACATACAAAAAGGTTTTTAAATTTTGAGTAACATTAGGTCTCTCTGGTTATTCAAAAATGTTGAAAGTTGAAAAAATGGGAAATTCATTAGCATTAGAATAAAACTACCTTTTTTTCTGAATAATCTACTGGGAATCTACTGGGCAATTAAAATTAAAGGTATCATAATTATGCCTTTCATTTGCAAAACTTAGAAATATTCTTCGGAGATCCCATTTAGCGAAATATATAGCGATACCGAGCGATTTTATGCATTTCAAGTTTCCCTGCGAAGAACATCTCCTATATCAAATATTTTAAGATACATCCACAAATACATATAAATTGCAAAGATATAATTAAGCATCCCAAATATTTATGTTCTACAGTTCCTAGTCACATTAAATTTTGTTACATATCTTATATCATCTATATAACGGTAATATGTGCAATTTTAAAGGTTTTATAATTTAAATGTCCTAACTGTGGAGGATGTAAAAAGTTCATCCACGTCGAACTTAACTACGTTTTTACCTGTTTTGCTTGCAATCATATGACTATAGATAACAAAATATGTTCATGGCCACGTGGAATGATCATTCATGAATCTCTGTGTGTACGTATGTATGTGTACTTCCTACTACAGTCATAGTACTTGTATGTCGGTGTGTGAGGTGTCGTACGCCTTTGGTACGTGTTTAAAATATATTATACGAAATGCGTTAACGCAACTATTTGACATTTAATTAGTTTGCGAGCTGAATATCAAAATATTATTGTAACATTTCGGTCGGGAAAGTCAGAAGTTGACCATTTCAAACAAAACATTTAAAAAGGCATTGAGCATGCCGGTGTTCCAGCCGACGCGGTGCTCCATTGCCACCACTGAAATGTTGACCACATCCCAATTGGTTTCTGTGGCTTAATTCCGTGGCTAGTCATCGTCGCTTGCCATACACGCAAATATGAGGCTATTCAAGTCACCGGGAATGCTGGCACATTGTTTGGACGCCATTAATATTTACGAAATTGTATAATAGTAATGGGAATAAGGAAACATGGCATTTTGAGAATATATTTGGGAATAATATTCACTTATAGGTTTTTTTGTACAACTCTAACATTCAGAATTATAAAAATGTGCCTTATATATATTCGATCGCTAATAACAAATTTTAATGAAACTCCAGGTAATTTAGCATTCCGTTCCAGATTAGCACTTTACGGGTTTCTTTCTGTACAGTTAACTTTATTGTAACAGAAAATACACTGAAAAATACATAGCTCTACAAATATCCAAAACTACTACTACGCCTTTTAGTTTATCAAATACCAAAATTCAGAACTGTAGCTCATGACTATCGTTATTATTATAATGCCAAATTTCTGATGGATTTTTTTTGGAAACCATTATAGTTATAATGACCAATATTTTATTCAAAAAATGTTATACAAATTAGTCCTTATGTACTTTTCGTGATCTTTTAGTAGGACTTAGTTTACAGTTTATACCTTCAAAATACATCGAGCCAGATCACAATATTTAGCACTTTCTGTGCATTTCGTATTGTTTCTGTGGGAATTACCAATTCGCCAATCGTTTGCCATAGCCAAACCTTACACAAACATTTAGATCCATAGCATTTTTATACCCTCCACCATACATAGAATAGAGGGTATATTAAGTTCGTCATTCCGTTTGTAACTCATCGAAATAATCATTTTAGACCCAACAAAGTATATATATTCTTGATCAGCGTACAATTCTAAGGCGATTTAGCCCTGCCCGTCCGTCTGTTGTAATCACACTACTGTCAAAATGAAGCTAGAAAGCTAAAATTTTGCACAGATCTCTCTTTTGTCTGCAGGCAGGTCAAGTTCGAAGATGGGCTATATCGGTCCATGATATCGTATAGCCCCCATATAACGGTACCCCCCGATATTCGGCATTTTGATGATTTTAGCCACATTTTTCAATATAATTGCCTCAAATTCCACACAAAGAGTTCTTTGCGAGCACTTTACCCCCTGAAAAGGGAAATGTCTATATAGATCCACAATATCGTATATCCCCCATATAATGGTACCCCCCGATATTCGATATTTTGATGATTTTAGCCACATTTTCCAATGGATAGCCTGAAAATCCTCACAAGGAGTTCCTTGTGAGTACTTTATCCTTCGGAAGAGAATTATCTATATAGGTCCACGATATCGTATAGCCCCCATATAACAGTACCCCCCGATATTTGGTATTTTGATGATTTTAGCCACATTTGTCAATGGAATTGTCTGAAATTCCACACAAGGGGACCCTTGTGAGTACTTTATCCCCCGAAAGAGAATTGTCTATATGGGTCCATGATATCGTATATCCCCCATATAACGGTACCCCCCGATATTAGGTATTTTGATGATTTTAGCCAAAGTTTTTAACGGAATTGACTGAAATTCTACACAAGGAGTTCTTTGTGAGCACTTTACCAGCTGAAAGGGAATTGTCTATATAGATCCACAATATCGTATATTCCCCATATTCGGTATTTTGATAATTTTAGCCACATTTTCCAATGGAATGGTCTGAAAATCCACACAAGGAGTTACTTGTGAGTACTTTATCCTTTGGAAGAGAATTATCAATATAGGTCCACGGTATCGCATAGCCCCCATATAACGGTACCCTCCGATATTTGGTATTTTGATGATTTTAGCCACATTTGTCAATGGAATTGTCTGAAATTCCACACAAGGAGTGAGTGCTTTACCCCCAGACAGAGTCTATATATGTCCACAATATCGTGTATCCCCCCATATGTCGGCACCTTCCGATGTTAGGTATTTTAAAGATTTTAACATAATTTTTTAATGGATTCTATTTTTTTTTTTTTTTTTTGAAAATTTTCTAATTCGTTCCAAATGGTGGAGGGTATTCAAAGATCGGCCCGGCCGAACTTACTGCTTTTTTACTTGTTATAATTTCTCTGTTCTTAGTACATTTTTATACCCTCCACCATACATAGTACATTCGATTTAGCCCTGTCCGTCCGCCCTTCTGAGTGCTTTACCCCCTAGAAGAGAAGTGTCTATATCGGTCCACGATATCCCCCACATAACGGTACCTCCAGATTTAAGTGGTATCTTTCGACGGATTTTTTTAAAATGTTCAAAGTCCTTCAAAATGGTGGAAGGTATTAAAAGTTCGGCCCTTAGCTGATTTGTTACTTATTTTGTTTTACAAAGCAGAACAGGAACTACAGTCTTCAAAATACAATAAATCGGGGAGTACAGTTGTATGGGTTTTTATAAAAAAATTTAACCTACAAAGAATTGTCTTCCACCAGGTTTGTTACCTGTTGCTAGTTTCAAATTCCAAAAGTGAACGAATTCCTTGGAAATACGTGTCTAAAATTACCAATATTGGGAGGTATAGTTTTAAGGGTGCTATAGGAAATCACTGACCTATATAGAAAATGTCCTACCACCGGAGCTTGAAGCAATTACGAACTTCAAATACCGAATGTAAAAAATCCGTTAAAAAATGAAACTTAAATCTTCAAAATACCGAATATACTAATGTGGCGTTATATGGAGGCAATAGTAAATCTTGGACCAATACAGACAATGTTCTGCCACCGAACGTGGAACCCATTATAAAGCATAAACATTAAATGTGCAACAATTTCGTGAAAAAATGGTTAAAATAATCCAAATACTGAATATAGAAAGTTAACGTTATGAGGGGGCGATACCTAATCGTGGACCTATATAGCCCATTTTGAATACCAAAAGTCCTTCAGTCCAAGGACACATTTGAGTAAAATTGTATCAACCTACTTCAATTCGTTTGGAAACTAGAGTGATTGCCACGGACAGATGCACGGACAACGCTTAATGGGATTAGAATTTAGGCCGATCAAGAATACATATAATTTATGTCGTCTAAAATGTATATTTGGAGGTGTTATAAACGGGATGACAAACTTTGTATACCCTCCATGCTATGGTGGAGGGTATAAAAAATTAAATAGTTCCAGAAAAGTTGTTGTGGGTTCCAGGAGCATTATTTAAAAAAAGTTTTTCTAATGAAATTGTTTTTTTTTTTTGTTTGCTACAATTTCAATAAAATCATTAATAAACTTTTTTCTTTTTTATTTTTTTTTTCTGGTCCAATACATACATTTATATATCGATTGATTTTGCCCTCAATCGAATGTGAAACCAACATTGGCTACCATCAACGCTGGTGGCAACGATTACAGTCACAACGTTTGTTTTATCGGCACTTGTTAGCCACGAGAACAAATTGGATATGGTGCATGTTCAGAATTCAACACTGGCCGGAGGCGTTGCCGTTGGTAGTGTCTGTAATTTGCTGATTGGAGCTCATGGTGCCGTTTTAATTGGAATCATTGCTGGTACAATATCGGTGATGGGTTATCGTTTTATAACGGTGAGTGATATTTTTTTTTTTTTTTTCATATATATTTGTTATATATGTAGGCAATTTTTGTCCATATAGCATTGGCTTTGATGTGTAAACAATAAACAACACTGTGCAACAGAATGGAGCTCAAAGAAAAGAAGAATACTTTTTAGTGATAGCCTGAATTTGTCAAGTCGAAAAATTATTATATCCCTGTTAATTCTTATTGTAGCTCACTGAAGAATTCCACAGTCAAATCGATTCAGGCATCAATCTTAAATATTTTTATACCCCATTTTTTTGTAACAGGCAAAAGGAAACGAGATAGACCGATAGTTCCTTTTGATGATCTGCATAGAATCACATTCTGAGTCAATTTATGCATGTCCTTCCGTCCGCCTGTCCGTCCGTCTGTCCATGTATTTTTGTAAACAAAGTACAGTTCACATTTATAGCCCTATCCAGGCACTTACGACCGAATTGAGTCTAGAAGCTAGTATGTCAAATTTGGTGAAGATCGGTTCAGATATAGCTATAGCTCCCATATGTAGTGTTCATCCGATTTGTTATATTTGTTACCCACAGCCGTAATATGCACTCCGTAACATCGATATTTAGGGAAATATATCAAATACAGCTCAGAAATATCTTTGCCAAATTTTATCGAGATCGGTTCCGATTTGGATATAGCTCCCATATATATTTTTATCCGATTTCAAATTAATTGTGCACCAAATGGGCAATATAAGTCCGAATTTAAAAGATACAAATGCTTCGGCATATTTAATCCTTTGAACTTTAAATTATAATTATAATCATAGCGTGTATGATTGAATTCTCCCATAAAAACTTTTAATTGTTATGCGGAGCTCTACTAAATTAGCAAAGTGGTGTAGGGTATTATAAAGTCGGCCCGCCCGACTTTAAGACTTTCTTTACTGGTTTCGTTTTAACTTTAGTCAATCAATGTCCTTTTTGTCCTTTTTATACCCTCGACCACAAATAGTATGAAGGGTATATTAATTTCGTCATTCCATTTGTAACTCATCGAAATCATAATTTAAGACAGAACAAAGTATATGTATTCTTAATCAGCGTAAAATTCTAAGCCGATTTAGCACTGTCCGCCCGTCCGTCTGTTGTAATCACGCTAGAGTCAAAACGAATAAAGACAGGAAGCTAACATTTTGCACAGATATGTCTTTTGTCTGCAGGCAGGTCAAGTTCGAAGATGGGCTATATCGGTTCATGATATTGTATAGCCCCCTAATAACGGTACCGTCCGATATCCGGTATTTTGATGATTGTAGCCAAATTGTTCAATGAATTTGTCTGACTGAAATCCAGAAAAGCAGTTCCTTCTGAGTGCTTTACCCCCTGGAAGAGTATTGTCTATATAGGTCCACGATATCGCATATCCCCCATATAACGGTAACTCCCTATATTCGGTACTTCAATGATTTCAGCTACATTTTTCAATGGAACTGTCTGAAAATCCATATTAGAAGTTATTTTTAACCACTTTACCCCCTGGAAGAGAAATGTCTATATACCCCCACGATATCGTATAGCCCACATACAACGGTACCCCCCGATATTCGATATTTTGATGATTTTAGGAACGTTATTCACCGGAGTTGTTTCAAATTTCGTATTTAGAATTCGTAATGGGAACTACAGTCTATGCGAGAAAATATATGCAGGTCCACGTCTTCGTATAGGCACCATATATCAGTACCTATATTTGGTATTTTGACAATTTTAGGTAAAATATTCACCAAAATTGTTTGAAATTTCGTATTTGAAATTCCTAACAGGTACTACAGCCTGTGACAGAAAATTACCTATGCCGGTCCTGGTCTTCGTATAGCCCCGATATAACGGTACCTCCCTATATTCGGTATTTAATGATTTTAGCTAAATTATTCACCACGTCTTCGTATAACGGCTATATTCGGTGTTTTGAAGATTTTAACATAATTTTTTAACGGATTTCAGAGTGCAGCCCCGCCGAACTTATTGCTTTTTTACTTGTTCCCTCATCATAACTCTTGGATTTTTAGTTGCCGTCTATTTCCCCCACTACCCCTTGCTAAACTAGGCAAATAAAAAGCAGTAAGTTCCACCATTTGGAACAAATTTGGACATTTTCAAAAAAAAAAAAATTAAATTAAATTCGTTAAAAAATTCTGTTAAAATCTTAAGAATACCGAATATAGCCCTTATACTGGGGTCTTTACGAAGACCTACATAGGCAACTTTTAACATAATATACATACAATATTCAATACAATATTCAAATACGAAACTCGAAGGATGTTCCGTTACATCGGGGCTATACGAAGACCTAAACCTGCATAGACAATTGTCTGTCCCAGGCTGTAGTACCAACTAGTAACTTCAAATACGAAATTTCAAACAATTTCGGTGAATATTGCACCTAAAACCGCCAAAATATCGAATATAGGGAGGTACTGATTTATAGGGCCGATGCGATGACCTGGACCTGCATAAACAATTTTCGGTCATAGACTGTAGTTCCCATTACGAAATCTAAATACGAAATTTGAAACAGCTCCCTTGAAAAATTTGGCAACAATCATCAAAATACCGAATATAGGGAGATACCGTTATGTGGAGGCTATACGAAGAAGTGAGACTGCATACACAATTTTTTGTCATAGGCTGTAGTACCCACTACGAATTGTAAGTACGAAATTTGAAACAACTCCGGTGAATAATGTCCCTAAAATTGTCAAAATATCAAATATCGGGGCGGTACCGTTATATGTGGCCTATACGTGCACCTTTATAGACATTTCTCTTCCAGGGGGTAAAGTGCTTAGAAAGAACTTCTAGAATGGATTTTTAGACAATTCCATTGAAAAATGTATCTAAAATCATGAAAATACCGAATATAGGGAGGTGCCGTTATATGGGGGATATATTGTTGACCTATATAGACAATACTCTTCCAGGGGCTAAAGTACCCAGAAGAAACTCCTTTTTCGGATTTTCAACCAATTTCAAAATTTAAACTCATCAAAATATCGAATATCGGACGGTACCGTTATCTGTGGACCGTGGACCGATATAGTCCATCTTCGAACTTGACCTGCCTGCAGACAAAAGACTGATCTGTGCAAAATGTTAGCTTCCTATCTTTATTCGTTTTGACCCTAGCGTGGTTACAACAGACGGACGGACAGGACTAAATCGTTATAGAAATTTACGCCGATCAAGAGAATATATACTTTGTCATGTCTACATTTATTATTTCGATGAGTTACAAGCGGAATGACGAACTTAGTATACCCTAAATTCTATATATATTGTGGAGGGTATAAAAAGCAAAGTTACGGACACTTATTAGTATGATGTCTTGTTATCTTTTTCCTTTGAATCTGCCATTAACAATTCTTCTGTTTGTTAAATGCATTTCCGCTGTTCATTACATCATTCCATGTATGAAGCAGAATCCAGTTTGCTTTTATAGGAATACCAACTATAACTATACAGATACCAAGAATTATTCCTATTCCATAATAATTCTCTACTCAATGCTACAAGCTACACGTATGGAAGGTGCCATTGACAATCTTTATACCCTACAACACTATGTGTTGGGGGTATTATAAGTTTGATTGGGCCAGAATTTATGTAACACCTCGAAATATTGGTTTCCCATATAAGAAAGTATATATGGATCTTCCTAGCTCGCCGAGCTGAGTCGATCTAGCTATGTATGTCCGTCCGTCCGTCTGTCCGTCTGTCCATGTTAATTTGTAATCACTCTACAGGTCGCAATTATGGCCCGATCTTCACTAAATTTAAATGTAGGTGGGGTTAATGTCAGTATAGAACCCTATTTCTTTTGGAGATGATCGCCAAATGTTTAGGGGTTAAAATGGACCAAATACTGAAAAAATGTCGGATTTTGCAGTAGCTATACAGGTCGCAATTATAGACCAATCGACGCGGAATTTCGCATGTAGCTAGAGTTTAGGGCGGGGAAGAAGCCTACCAATTTGGGTGGTCATCGGATTATATTTAGCGGGTAAAATAGACAATATCTTTTGTATTGAAAAAATTCGAAATTTTTCATTAAACCGCGAATATTTTAAATCCCGGCGAAATCACAAGGCCATGACAGGGTTACTTCTGATCTTTACATTGATTTTAACATCCAACAAATCGGATATATAGCAAAATATGTGCGATATATATGAAAATATGCTTGAAAGATCTATTTTATGTCGAGAACGGCTGAACTGATTTCGACAGTTCTCATTAATTCAGAATGGCCTCTTGGCAGAAAAGAAAAAACGCCTAAAAAATCGCATAAAAATATCGATCTAAAGATGAAAATATTGATTTTGTAAATTTCCTCATATTTTTTTCAATTTTTCAATTTTGTCATATTTTTGGCATATTTTCATTTTGAATTAAACATTTGGTAATATTTCTACAGCTAACAAAACTAAGTAGTTAGGATATCCGGATATCATATACAGATCGCATTTATGGCCCGATCCTTACGAAATTTTGCATGGGGGTAAGATGGGGGTCAGAATAGAAGCGTACTTTTTTTGGAGATGATCGCCATATATATAGGGGTTGAAATGGACCAAAAAACTGCAAAATTGTCAGCAGGTCATAATTATCGCCCGATCCTCACGCACATTTGAATGGGGGTTACCGGACATTGCAAAAGCCAAGCAGTTTTGGATGGCCATCCAAAAATATTCAATGTGTGAAATAGTTTGCCATCTTTTGTAGACAAAAGACGAAAATGTCCATTCCAGTGACTTTTTGGAGAATTCACAAATACAGGAAAGACGCACTTCTGACTATTTCGTTAACGCTGATTTCGTTCAAGAATATAGTCAAATGTCTGTATCTCATATAGATGCGTTTCAGTCAAAAACCAATAATAAATGTTAATCTTTTGCCACTTCTGAGAGATTTTGGGTCTTTGGGAAATATTGGTTCCAGATTTAGGAAGACCATTTACGTGCAACATCTACCAATAAATTGGAGATGAGCAAATTAGTTTAAGTTACTATTATTCGAAAATTAGAGAACGAAACCTGATGGTTTTCTTTTATTATTTGTCACAATATCTTGTGAAATTCTTTCGAGTATCTCGCCTGTATAAACTGTATCCTTTATTATAGTGTTGTAGGGTATTCAACGGTCGGCCCCGCTCGACTGTAGCCTTTGCTTACTTGTTTTTATTTACTATTAAAAAAAAATCATGACAACAACTCATATTCATGATAATACAATAAATATTTCTTTTATTTTCCCCGTACGCACAACATAAAGTGCTGTCAAATGGATTTGCAACTAGAATCACATTTGCTTTTTAAACTGCGTTATTTGTACATTGATAGTTTTATGCATCAAGACATGGGTGAGTGTAGTTGATAGTCACCTTTATCGGTTTATAAGTAGGTACGTAGGCTGTGGTACCTATTCACGAACTTCAAATAAGAAATCTGAAACAATTATTGTGAATAATAGCGGCATATGAGAAAAATACCAAATATCGGGAGGTATCGTTATATGGGCTATACGAAGTCATGGACCTGCATAGGTAATATTCTATCATAGGCTGTCGTACCCATTACGAACTTTAAATACGAAGTATAAAACAATTCTGGCGAATAATTCCGCTAAAATCATCAAAATACCGAATATAGGAAGGAAAGCTATATGGGGGTATCCGAAGACGTGGACCTGCGATTTTTTGTCATAGGCTGTAGTACCAATTACGAACTTTAAATACGACATTTGAAAAAATTTCTGGGCAATATGAAAACGTGGACAGACATTTACGAACTTAACCTGCCAGCAAATTCGGGTTAAAGTTAAAGTACAGTTGTATGTAGGGCTATACCAAAACGTGGTCCTATATAGCCCATTTTTAATGTCAAAAGTCCTACGGACATAAAATACATCTAGTAAAATTTATCAACCTTCTTCATTTCGTTCGGAAGCTAGAGCAATTTCTATAGGCGGACAGAAGGAGAAACGTCACTAAATCGACATAGATTTTTATGCTTATCCAGAATATATATGATTTTTGGGTTTTAAAATGGATATATATCTGAATGTTATAAACGGAATGACAAACTTAATATAACCTCCAACACTATGGTGGAGGATATAAAAGTAAAAAAATTACCTTCATGATCCTATCCTGATTTTCATACCCTCCACCATAGTATGGAGGGTATATTAAGTTTGTAATTTCGATTGTAACACCTCGAAATATACATTTTAGACCCCACAAAGCATAAAATTCTATGTCGATTTAGCGATGTCCGTCCGTCTATCCGTCTATGGAAATCACTCTAGCTTCCGAACGAATTAAAGTAGATTGATAAAATTTTACTCAAATGTATATTATGTCTGCAGGACTTTTGGTATTGAAAATGGGTGATGGAGGTCTACGTTTTGGTAAAGCCCCCATATAACGGTACATCCAGATATTCGGTTTTTTGTTAATTTTAGCGACATTATTCACCGGAATTGTTTCAAATTTGGTATTTGAAGTTCGAAGTGGAAACTACAGCCTTAGACAGAAAATTATCTGTGCAGGTCAACGTCTTCGTATAACCCCCATATAACTGTACTTCCCGATATTCGGTACTTTGTTGATTTTAGCAACATTATGAACCGGAATTCTTTCAAATTTGGTATTTGATGTTCGTAGTGGATACTACAGCCTATGACAGAAAATTGTCTGTGCAGGTCCACGTCTTCGTATAGCCCCCATATAACGGTACCTCTGGATATTCGGTATTTTGACGATTTTAGCGACATTATTCAACGGAATTGTTTTAAATTTGGTACTTGATGTTCGTAGTGGATATTATAGCCTATTACAGAAAATTGTCTGTGCAGGTCCACGTCTTCGTATAGCCCCCATATAACGGTATCTCCGGAAGTTCGTAATGGATACTACAGCCTATGACAAAAAATTGTTGAATTTTGAACGGATTTTATTTTGTTTACTTTTGGAGAGTATTCAAAGATTGGCCCGGCCAAACTTACATCTTTTTTACTTCTTTTTGTTTTTTTGTATGACAAAGTTATAGTTATTAACTTTGTCTCCGAGATGAAATTAAAATTTATAACAGTTTCACATGATATGAGTTTCACAAAAATAATTCCTTCGGACCCTGGATCCTCAAAGAATCACTTTCTGAGTCGACTTATGAATGTCCGTCCGTCCGTCTGTTTGTCCATGTATTTTTGTGAACAAAGTACAGGCTGCATTTATCGACATGGCATTTTGAGCAAATCATTTCTTTGGCCCAACGACGGACATTATTAAAATTGGATAAATTAAGATACAGCTCCTATATAAATTCATCCAATTTGGACTTATATCCTGGAGCCAGTTGAACTCATATCTTGGAGCTATATCCAAATCTCGATATAATTTAGCAATGGTTTTTTCCGAGCTCTATGAGATATCTGGTACCAAATATCATTGTTGTAGACTGCATATTACAAATGTTAGGGATTTAAACACCAAATCGGATGAAACATACGTATATATGAGTGCTGCGATTTTCACCAAATGTGATGTGCCAAATTGAGGTCATTTGGACTGATATTGGCCATTTGGTGCCCAATTAACCCGAAATCGGTTGAAGATATGTATACGTGAGCTATATCTAAGTTTCAACAGATCTCGAAAAAAATTGAAGCAGATATTGCTGGGCTGTACATGATATCTCGTATTAGAATGTGAGGGACTTAAACACCAGATCGTATTAAACATATATATTGGAGCTATAGCTATATCTGAACCAAATTTCAAGTACTTGTTTCTAGAAATCGGTCGGAAGTGCAAAAATATAGGTCAGTTAGACTAATATTGGCCATTTGGGGCACAGTTAACCCGAAATAGCTTGAAGATATTTAGGAGCTATGTCTAAATTTTAACCGATTCTCATCCCAATTCGTCCTTGGGCCAAACAAGTATTGTTTGGAACATTTCACCTAAATCGGATAATAATTGCGAACTGCATTTTGTTCACAGAAATAAATTGACGGACAGACGGACTGACATGAATTAATCGACTCAGAAATTGATTCCATGAATATCCTCAAAAGTAAGTCTCACTTCATTCAAAAATGCAAAGTCATATAATGCAAAAAGACACAGATACCACAGATAACGTTATTGAAATTTATACAAAACTCTAAGTATATCAGTGAAAAACTCTTGTTAAAGCAAACCACGTCCGAATAACTTTTTGATAGTCCTACATGTATATGGACACCGAATATTGCTAACCTATAAAGTATAAAAGTTTATTTTAAAAACCCCTGTATAATCTCTCATTTCTCATGTTTTCTTTTTTTCCCCTTTTAGCCATTTTTAACACAGAAATTACGTTTACACGACACCTGTGGCGTACATAATCTCCATGGTATGCCGGCCGTAATCTCTGCCATTGCCTCGGCCATTTTTGCTACGATGGTAACTAGAGAAGAATATAAATCCGATTTTGGTGCTATCTTTCCGGCAATGATAAACGAAACGGAAATATCAGCCAACAACATGACCGAAAACGATGCAACAATCCATATAATGGGGGTAAGTAGAACGGCATAAAACTTCGAAGAAGAAACCATGTTGATGCATTTTTTTGGAAACACATCGATTCTGTACATACAGTCTGTCGTAAAAATTAGTATGCACCAGTGCAAACAAAATATGCATTGATGCCCAATCAACTATTAGGGACATTAAGGTATATAGAGAAATGTTCGGCTCAAATGTATATCCCAAATGTTATTGTATATCATATAGGGTGAGATAAAAAACTGCAACAAAGTAAAACGCCATAATTTTTACTCTTTTTTTAAATTTTATTAAATGAAAGCAAAAAATGTCGGAAATAGCATCAAATTTTAGAATAAGTTTAGATACATTCGAATTGGTCACCTTTGGCACGAATTATGACCCGCATATGCATGTTGCTCTGCGATATTTTGGCCCATTCCCGGCAAGCGTTTGCTTGAGGTGATCGACACTTTCGTATTCATTGCTTTACAAAATACTCCAGGCACAATAGTCCAACGGATTGGTATCCGGAGATTTTGGTGGCCATTGTGCCCCGGAAATGAAGAGAGGAACCTCATTTTGTAACCATTCTTGGGTGGCGCGTGTTGAGTGCAATGGTGCTGAGTTCTGTTGGAATGCCCAAGGTCTGCGACCAAAATGTTTGTTGCCCAAGGCTTTAATACACCTCCCAGAATATTTTCGCGATAGTATTCGGCATTTATTTTGATGCCACGGTCGATTAATACAAGCGGAGAGTGATCATCGACTGTTATGGCGGCCCACACCATCACCATGGCCGGCGCTAGAGTTCCGGTGGCCGACCAAGGTGCACATTTTCATCTGACCTCTTTGGCAAGTAAACACGATCATTACATCAAATTTGGTGAAAATCGGTTCAGATATAGCTATAGCTCCCATTTATATGTTTCATCCGATTTGCTGTTAAAGTCCCTCAAATTCGTTATATGCACTCCACAAGAATAATATTTGGAACCATATATAAGATACAACTCAGAAATACCTCTGCTAAATGATATCAAGATCTGTTCAGATTTTGATATAGCTCCTATATAAATATCTTATCCGGTTTCAGGTTTATTATGCAAATAATGCCTAATATCAACCCAAATGGAGTGAATTTCGGGACGAAGGTTTCGATTTTGTGGAACTCGGCTCCGATATTTATTTTTTTAATATAACCCTTCTCGAAATTATATCATGCACTCTATAGCAAAGTTATTTGGCATATAGGATTACAATGTCTCCGTCAAATTTAGTGAAAAGCGATTTAGAATTGCATATGCCTCCCATATACAAGTTCCCTATGAAATCAAATTATAACTACTCTAAAGCCAAATGTTGATAGGTGGTATGATCTGCTTTAAATAAATTCTAAATATGTATATTGGTCGCCCGACTTTTGAGCTTTCCTTACTGTTTTTATACCCTACACCACATAGTGGTAAGGGTATTATGTCTTTGTGCATTTGTTTGTAACATGGAGAAGGAAACGAGATAGACCCCTAGTTACTTTTGAAAACCTTCATAGAATAACTTTCTGAGTCGATTTATGCATGTCAGTCCGCCTGTCCGTCCGTCCGTCCGTCCGTCCGTCTGTCCATGTATTCTTGTGAACAAAATGCAGGTCGCATTTATTATCCGATTGAGATGAAATTTTCCAAACAATGTATGTTTGGCCCAAGGACGAACCCTATTGAAATTGGTGAGAATCGGATCAAATTTAGATATAGCTCCCATATATATCTTCATCCGATTTCGGGTTAAATGTGCACCAAATGTCCACTATCAGTCCAAATTACCTGAATTTTGGCACACCCAACCGAGTTCGGCCTAGAAGCAAGTATATCAAATTTGGAGAAAATCGGTTCAGATGTAGCTATAGCTTCCATATATATCTTTCATCCGATTTGGTGTTTAAGCCTCTCACATTCGTAATATGCACTCCACAAGAATGATATTTGGTACCAGATATAAGATACAGCCCAGAAATAGCTGTTTGTAATTTTATCGAAATCGGTTCAGATTTGGATATAGCTCCCATATATATCTTCATCCGATTTCGGGTTAATTGTGCACCAAATGGCCGATATAAGTCCAAATGGACTGAATTTTAGTACATCGGACCAAATTCAGCCTAAAAGCAAGTATATCAAATTTAGTGAAAATCGGTTCAGATATAGATATAGCAACCATATATATGTTTCATCCGATTTAGAGTTTTAGTCCCATACATTCGTAATATTCACTCCACAACCGTGATATTTGGTACCAGGTATTAGATGGAGCACAGGAATAGCTGTTTTGAATTTTATCGAAATCGGTTCAGATTTGGATATAGCTCTCATATATATCTTCATCCGATTTCGGGTTAAATGTGCACTAAATGGTCAATATCAGCCCAAATCACCAGTCTAGAAGCTAATACGTAAAATTTGGAGAAACCCGGTTCAGAGATAGCTATAGTTCGTAAAATGCACGATAGAATTAGATAGATTTTGATTTTGTACCAAATATCTCATAGAGCTCTGAAATGCCCTGTATATACCTTTTTACGAGAGCTCTACTAAATATGCATAGTGATGTAGGGTATCATATAGTCGGCCCCGCCCGACTTTTGAGCTTTCCTTACTGGTTTAATAAATAATTTTGTTTTCTTTTTTATCTTCGGCACATTTTGATTGCAGTGGCATATACTTACTTTTGCAACAGACTATACTTGTATCAAAGATTTGACTTTTACATTTTTAAAAAGATGTAAATATGTGTAAAACAAGTTTACACACAATACTGTTGTTATTGAAATATGTGTTTTGGTTACTTATTTGAAACACGATTTATTTAAGCCTCCAATGACATTTTCGATGTCTCTAAAATTTCAAATATACAGATTTACTGCAGAGATATTAATAACACTCATTGTTTGCCCATATCAAGGCTAGTTAAAATCTTAATTGAACTCAAATTTATATTAAAATATGATTTTGATTTGAATTCGCCAGTTCAATATATGAAAACATATCTAACTCATGAGGGCTTTATGTGTACTCGATGTTACATGGTAGACGTCTCACATACACTTTACTCTAACAAATACATACATATCTGAACAGACCTGTTTAGAACTACAAAATTTCAATGTGTTTATTATTGTTTCTTTATTCTCCTATTTTTTTCAATTTTTTTTAGGGCTACGACCGCACTGCCAGTGCACAGGCTGGTTACCAACTATTCGGTATTGCCATGACCATTCTGGTTGCCATAGTTGGTGGCATATTAGCAGGTGGGTAATCCTATTCACATTTATATTGAGTAGGAAATGTCCAACATTTAATATAAAAATATAATAATTTATTTTTCCTTCCTCTTGTTCTCTTCCTCACACTGCTTCATTTATCAACGACTTGTGCTATTTTACTCGATTTCCTTTTTATGCTAACATCATCATCATCGTCATCCACAAACTTCTCTATGGGGCCAATAACCACGAAAACTTTGTTGACTTTATCTTCCGGTCACCGGTCATGTGGGCCCTGGCTGTGGACCATCGAACGTTTGCTGGCGTGTTTCCTTTGTAACTATGGTGATTGTGTTGTAACACACACAGGTTTGGTGCTGAAATACACCGGCTTCCGCAAGTTACAAAAGGAGGAACAACATCAGGATGAACTCTATTGGGAGGTGCCTGCCGAACGCAAGGATGAATAGTAAAGTGAAAATAAACGAATTTTATTTTGCAACGCAAGAAAAGTACAGAACAAAATAAACATTCACCCTGCACTATCCAGAAAAGATCCAAAGGAATCACTTGTATAGCAATCTTTAAATGTGTATTTACAAAAAGAAACTATAGATATTATTAAATTTTATTTAAGCACACAAACACTCATTGGTTTTTTATAATTTATTTTTTTCACATATTGTTTTTGGTTAATAATAATTTTAGATGGCTTGATATGAAATGCGTGTCCACCTTCTTACTAATTGACATCAAACAAGTAAAAAAGCTATAAGTTCGGCCGGGCCGGTATCCATTACGAACTTCAACTACTAAATTTGAACAAATTCCGGTGAATAATGTCGCTGAAATCATAATAGGTTAAATTTGAAACAATTCCGGTGAATAATATCGCTAAAATCATCAAAATACCGAAAATATGGAGGTACCGTTATATGGGGGTTATCCCAAAACGTGGACCTACATGGCCCATTTTTAATACCAAAAGTCCTGCAGACATAATATACATTTGAGTAAAATTTTATCAATTTTATGGAAAGCTAGAGCGATTTCCACAGACGGACGGATATCGCTAAATCGACATATAATTTTATGCTGATCAAGAGTATATATACTTTGTGGGGTCTAAAATGTATATTTCGAGGTGTTACAAAGGGAATTACAAGCTTAATATACCCTCCATACTATGGTGGAGGGTATAAAAACATTAAGTTCGACCGGGGCGATTTTTTAATACCATCTACGTTTTGGGCAAAGAAAACATTTTTTTTATAAAAGTGTCTGGATTCGAACGTGTTTCAAAAAAACCATAAAGTGGATGAGGCCGTTGTATGGGAGCCATACCAAAACGGGAACCTCCATAGACAACTCTATACCTCAAGGATTGTCATCTACTAAATCTTCTTATATACCCAATTTGAAGCAATTTGGTGGGTAAATGTGACTAGAATTATCAAAATACCGAATTTCGGTGGGTATCGTTATATGCCCTCTATAGGAAAACTTGGACCTAAATATTCAATGTTCTACAGGAGCTAGAACCCATTACGAGCTACAAATACCAATTTGTAAACAAATCTGTGGGAAAATGTGGCAAAAATCGTTAAAATACCGAATATCGGGAGGTACCGTTATATGAGGTTATACAAAAACGCGGACCCATACATACAATGTTGCGCTACCACAACCAACAAATACCAATTTTGAGAAAAATCTGTAGAGAAACGTACAAAAATCATCAAAATACCTAATATCAAAAGGTACCGTTGTATGACGGCTATACCAGAACGCTGTCAGACATACGGACATCGTTAAATCGATTTAGAATTTTATGCTGATTAGGAATATATATACTTTATGGGGTCTATGACGAATATTTAGGGATGTTACAAACGGAATGACAATGTTAATATACCCTCCTTTTCAAAGTGGAGGGTATAATTATACGATTGGTACAATTAGACATACAGCAGACATATTTCCCTTTTTATACTTTTCAGAAATAAACAGGTAAGAAAACGACAAAGTGCGACTGGGCCGGATATATGATGTCCTACACCACTCTGTAAATTAAGCATATTCATGTAGATTTAAATATAAGTTCAGGTTGTAATAAGTATCACGTCAGAGTCAGTATTGGTGCATAGGCGTGTGATAAGGCTGGGTTTTTGCAAATTCCTACTAAAAGGGTATGAAAAGTATTAGAATGTACTAAAAATTGAATACTTTGCATTGGATAAACAGAATGAGCTAGAATTCTGAAAGTTGAAATGATGTACCAAAGGGTTTTTGGAAATTCGAACTTTTAGGTACCATTTGGTATTATGTGGATGAATATAGGTAAAAACTTGAAATTTGGTATGAGAATCAAGGTTGGAAAGTGTATTTGATATATTACGGTGGTTTTAGAAATGTGTACTAAGGGCGAAATGTACTAAAGGTACTAAATATGGAACAGTTTGGTTTAGGGTGAATGGAAAAAGCTGAAATTTTTAAATTTTGTATTGGGGTCTCTGTTGGTATCTCGAATTGAGGAGGTGATTTTGCAAATGTGTACTACAAGTGCCCGAAAAGTACTATAATCGGTACAATTTGGTATTGGATGAAAAGATAGTGCTTGAAATTTGATATTAGGGTCGCTGTTTATGTGTAGCATGAACATTTGGAGATGGTTTCTGGAATGTGTACTATAATTGTACGAAAATTAATAAATAGCTCTAAATTTGGTATTTGGTGAAGGGATAGAGATTATATTCTGAAATTTGATTTTTATAAGACTTATGGTATCTGTGTTTGAGATTTTACGGTAGTTCGGAATTGCGTCTTATATATTGGTACGAAAAATACTAAATGGTACTAAATTTGATACTCGATGAAGAAATGGGGCTAGAATGCTCAAATTTGTTGGCATCTGGAATTGAGATAGGGAGATGGTTTTGGAAATCTGTACTATAATTATAGGAAAAATGCTAAATAGTACTAAATTTGGTATTGGTTGAAGGAATAGAACTGGAATCGTGAAATTTGACATAAATGATACTGTTGGAGTCTGTGGTTACGGTATGAAGGTGGTATTGAAAATGTGTACTATAATTGTACGAAAAGTACTAAATTTGGGATATAGCTGAAATCCTGAAATTTTATGAGTATGTTACTGTTGATGTCTGTGGTTGAGAGAAGGATCTGGTTTTAGATATGCGTCCTATAACCGTAATAAATTGCTAAAATCCTGAAATTTGACATTTGATATTGACTGTTCCCAAAGAATTAAATGCTTTAGTTGAAAGAAGGAGGTGGTTTTGGAAATGGACGTACAAAGAGTGCAAAATACCACAAAATGTGCCGTTGAGTGTTGGAATAGAGATGAAATTACGAAATTTGGTATCGAAGTCGCTGTAGTCTTATGGAAAAGTTGAAATCGAAAAATTGTATGTAACCATTGTGCAATGATTTTACTAATATCCTTCTCAGAAAAATTGTAGAATTAAAATTAAAAAATTAAATTGTTGGTGTAAAAGTTAAACACTTTCCTTTTCTTCTTTCCGAAAAAGAAGAAACTTGAAAGTCTGAAAATTTATTACGATGTATGAAGTCTTGATTGAACAATTTTATCATACTGGACAAATTGCACATTTTGAGTACTAACAAGTAAGCAAAGGCTGTAGTCGTGCGACCATGTGATACCCTACAACTCTAAAATATGTTAGAAGTCCCTTTATGTCCAAATCCATTTTGGAAAATTTCGCTTTTGAAATTATGTCACGGAGCATTGCCCAGATATTACCCTTAGCATTTTTACCAGGGACATTTGCCCAACATTTACGCACTCAGTCGTGCTGTTATTTGTTGTGGTCCCTTTTACAGCTAAATATAATCCAATTGTCATCCAAAATGCTAGAATTCTTACCTGTCCTTAGCTCCCTTCTCTTGATAGGCTTCAATTGTGTGATAAAGAAATTTTTTCTGTTCTTGGTTCATTTGAACCCCTAAATATTTTGCGATCATCTTAAAAGCAAGATGTCCCTCTTTTAGACTCATCTATATGATTTGCTTAGTCTATAATTGCGACCTGTAGAGCAATTGCAAAATCAGGATTTTTTTTCAGTTTTTGGTCCATTTCAACCCCTTAATATTTTGCGATCATCTCCAAAACCAATAGGCTTCTATTCTGGCCCTAGCGCACCTCCATTCTAAATTTAGTGAAGATCGGGCCATAATTGCGACCTGTAGAGTGATTACAAATTAACATGAACAGACGGACGGATGGACGGACGTACATAGCTAGATCGACTCAGCTCAACGAGATAGGAAGATTCATATATACTTTCCTATGTGGGAAACCAATATTTCGAGGTGTTACAACATTTTTGGCCCAATCCAACTTATAATACCCCCAACACCTAGTGTTGCAGGGTATAAAAAGGCCTAATACGAACTGTGGAAATAATATAAAATTTTGGATTTTTCGATGACAAAGTAGCCGGCACTTGCTAGGTTAAATATAACAATGAGCAAAAACCTCAAAAAATCTTCAATAAAAGTCCAGATTTCAGGATATTCCCCATAAAACTGACCAATCCAATTATTGGAAATTAGATACTAGTCACAAGTTACAGCGAATTTACTATAAGGTATGTAACTAATAGAATTGCAGGGAGGGAGGGCGCCCTGTGTTACGGACTTCCTCCCAATTTTTGTATATTTTACATAGAACACTTATGTTTGCTACTTGACCCCCTGAATGGTTTTTAAACGATTTTGAATTGAATGAAAATTGAATATTCAATAACATTTTATCTGATGTATATTTAACACAAAATTACAATATAAAATATACCGAAATCGATGGGTATAAAATAGAAAATATAAATAGAAAATATTTAATTTTATTTGATTTTAGCTTGAATGACCGTATTCTGCTTTTAATGTGTTGTTCGCTATATTTGCACGTCGATTTTACGAAACACACAATCCCAATTTGCAATATTATTTATAAATTTTTCAGAAATCATTAAATTTTGTAACTTTTTTTTTTTGAAATTGAATTGCAGTCCTGTTGCTCGTGGCGCTGATGTTCACCAACATCCCAGATTCCATTGTGATTCTCCCCCGTTGGTTTGGTATCCCGCCTATGTACGACATGTTATTGTATCATCACGAGGAGTGAGATAGTTGCGGTATTTTGGTATATTTTTAAATTCACAGTTATTAATATTTAATTTAAAGTTGTAAATAAAAACGTATTATTATTGTTATTAACTTATAAATAACAGCGTTTTATTTCATATTTGATTGTTTTCAATATTTTAATTTAAACTTTTAAACACAAGCAAAAAATAATAGTACCGTGCGACAGCAAAAATACACACTTGCTCTAATGTTCCAATTCTGGTTTGGGGGTTGCCCACATATGATGAATATGCCTATGGTTTTTCTGGGTCACTTCGAAAATTGATTTTATAACAGTAAATATAGGGAAAATCCGAGTATGTTGGATTTTCAAGTTTAAACCTGCATAATTTCTATTTTTAACAAACGCATTATTAGAAGAAGTGTTTTTATACGCTCCACCTTAAAACGGAGGTTAATTAACTTTGTCATTACCTTAATAATCGTCGTAGACCCAATAAAGCATATATATTCAT